GCTGCTACAAATAAGGAACATAAATTTCATGATAAAAAGACAAAATAAGTCAACCAGAAATATACCTGGATAAGAAAAAATGGCACTCAACAAATGATGCTGGAAAAACTGCACATCAACATGCAAAAGAATGAAACTGGACACCCTTCCTGATGTGACAGACAAAAATTAACTCAAAATGGATCACAGACCTTGATGTAGAAATAAAATTATACAACTCTTAGGAGCAAATCTTCATAATCTTGGGTTAAGCAAAGGTTGCCTAGATACAACACCAAAAACACAAGCAAAAAAATAAAAACTAGATACACTGGCATCATAATCAAAATTTAAAACTTTCATGCAGCAGGTGATACCATCAAGAAAAATGAAAAAAAACACCCAAAAGAATGGAAAAAAGTATTTGAAAATCCTATTCCTGGTCCAGAATATATAAAGAACACTTATAACTCAACAATAAAAATAATCCAATTAAAAACTGGGCAAAGGAACTGAAGGCACTGCTCCAAAAAAGATAAACAAATAACTAATAAGCACATGAAAAGATTAACCATTAGAGAAATGCAAATCAAAATGACAGTGAGATACAATTTCATATCCACTGGGATGGCTAAAATAAAAAAAGATAGCAACAAGTGCTGACAAGGATATGGAGAAACTAGAACCCTTATACATTGCTAGTGGGAACAAAAAATGGTGCAGGCATTTTGTTACACAGTTTGGCAGTTCCTCAAAATGTTCTATGATTCCATTTATGTAAAGTGAACAAACTACACAAACCCATGAAGACAGAAAGTAGTAACTGCCTGGGGAAGGGACAGAATGAAGAGTGACTGCGAATGTGTATGGGGTTTCTTTGAGGGCTGACGAAAATGTTCCAAAGTTAGATCATGGTAACTGTTTCAAAATTCTGTGAATTTGCTAAAAAAAATGAATTGTACACTTTAAACTGGTAAACTGTACAGTATATGAATATCTCAATAAAGCTATTGTTTTAAAGGCAAGGTATTTCACTGCTAAGTTTAAAAGACTGTTTTAAAATCTTAAATAACAATTAAAACTGAATATTAATTGCTCGTATCCAGAGAGAAAAGTGAGGAAATAGCTTATTTTGAATAAGTGATATGAAAGAAGACTAGAGATACATAGACGTGATTTGAAAAATGAGAATATTGAGCTATTGTTCATGAGTGATTTGGGACCAATATTCTGTGATCAATTTTTGCAGTGTATTAGCAGCACAATATTTTGTGATCAATTTCTGTAGTGCATTAGCACTACAAAGCAAGAATCAATATTATTTTTAAAATAAGACATGCCCCTACAAGCAATAAATGCTGGAGAGGGTGTGGAGAAAAGGGAACCCTCTTACACTGTTGGTGGGAATGCAAACTAGTACAGCCGCTATGGAAAACAGTGTGGAGATTTCTTAAAAAACTGGAAATAGAACTGCCATATGACCCAGCAATCCCACTTCTGGGCATACACACCAAGGAAACCAGATCTGAAAGAGACACATGCACCCCAATGTTCATCGCAGCACTGTTTATCACAGCCAGGACATGGAAGCAACCTAGATGCCCATCAGCAGATGAATGGAAGGGGAAGCTGTGGTACATATACACCATGGAATATTACTCAGCCATTAAAAAGAATTCATTTGAATCAGTTCTAATGAGATGGATGAAACTGGAGCCCATTATACAGAGTGAAGTAAGTCAGAAAGATAAAGACCATTACAGTATACTAACACATATATATGGAATTTAGAAAGATGGTAACGATAACCCTATATGCAAAACAGAAAAAGAGACACAGATGTATAGAACAGACTTTTGGACTCTGTGGGAGAAGGTGAGGGTGGGATGTTTCAAGAGAACAGCATCGAAACATGTATATTACCTGTGGTGAAACAGATCACCAGCCCAGGTTGGATGCATGAGACAAGTGCTCGGACCTAGTGCACTGGGAAGACCCAGAGGGATCAGGTGGAGAGGGAGGTGGGAGGGGGGATCGGGATGGGGAATACATGTAACTCCATGGCTGATTCATGTCAATGTATGACAAAACCCACTGAAATGTTGTGAAGTAATTAGCCTCCAACTAATAAAAAATTAAAAATTAAAATAAAATAAAATAAGACATGCCCTTACATTTAGTGGGCTTCTTTCCTCATCTGCAAAATTAGGACTTGTAGCTAACAAAATAATTTTTGAGATGAAGACAGAGAAGAGATGGCTGCTTCCCCAAAAGAATCTTCCAGGCAACAGCCTCTGTATGCATGGATAAGCTTGGGACTTTTAGAATTACAATGAATAAGGAAAGTCACTCCTTATGACAAACAGTAATCAACTAATATTGCAAATACTGTTTCAAGATTAAAATAAGGCTAGTTATATAATGAAAAAGTCAAGCCATTGTGGCTCCTCAAACAAAAAGGGATAAAATTGGAAGAATAATTTGGTACCACAGATGATTATTATTTAGTTCCTCTTCAGTTAGAACACCTATCTCAGGGACAGGTAAGAACCAAGAGCCTTAAAAATGCCTCAAAAGACAGAAGAAATAGGAAAGACTATGAACAGGGATAGAGGCTGAGATTTACAGTTTAGGGTAATGTTAGGAAGGAAAGCCTATTGCCTTTATCATACCTGTTTACTGAGTGTGATGGAAAACCAAAAGATAATGATTATGAACATGCACTGAGGGTAAAGCATGAGATCTGAAACACCAAGTCTATGCATGCTGCTGCTTCTGCATGGGATAAGGAAGAAAGATGAGATCATCTCCTATGAATACGGGCAGGAACAAGCTAGACTGAAGACAAAGACAGTGGATATTACTTGTATTATAGGATGTTCATATGATTGAATCTTGGGTCTGATAGTTAAGATTTAGGGTTATCCATCAAAGACAGGACAATGCCAAAAATGAAAAGCCCCTGATAAAAATAAAAGACAGTCAACAAAAGAAAATAAAACTAGTAGGACAGTGCAGCGGTTCTCAAAACTTTTCTTACCATGTCCCCTTAGGACAAAAGATCTCTACTTCATTTAGCCAAAAAAATCCCCACTTTCCAGTGGAATTCAGTGATAATGCAGCAAATTTTAGGGGAAATGGATAACATTTTAAACATAACGTATATACTCTTCAGTCAACATAATGGAAAATTATAGGCCAAACTGCAGCTGAACAAATATGCATTATTATTCAGTGGAGAGCTAACATAATAAATCACAGCAAGCTAAATTGATAACACTAAATTAAGTCATTTATCATATAAACCAAAAACTGAACTGAATAGAAACTGAAAAGAACCAACTCAAGACAATATTAATGGTATTCTGATGAAAAATCCTTCCTAAAAACTCTGGTAATCCCAACTATTCCAGTGGGAGCTTTGCTTGGCTGCCAACTATATAACTCAGCAGCCAAATTTCTTAGTAGAATACTCAAACAGCATCCTCTGTAAGTCTAATAATATTTTGTTTTACAAAAACCAATATTAATAACCAATAGTACTGCACACAGATTACCAGTACGTAGTCTTAGTTTTTATAAAAATAAAGATAATGAAATGAGGGTCATTCACCTTTAACAGCTCAAGAAAATACGAAAAGAGAGGAGCATGACAGTCATGATCATAGTGCAGTCAGGGACAAAAAGCAAACTACTAAGGATGGTCATGTCCCATGTCCAGGTCTGGCACTGGGAGAACCATGTGCCCTGGAGAAGGAAGCTGTGGAGGTGGAGATGAGAAGCGAAGTTCGCAGCCTGCCCCTCTTTCAACCACTTTCATGAGGCAACTTCTCCCCATGAAAAAAACAGGCAGTAATAATCTCTATGAAGGGAGGAAGAGCGACCCAAGACTGTATAAGGTGGGTAAGATCATTCTCTCTGTTGGCTGCATGGAGATCAGAAGGTGCCACAGGAAGGACGATGTGTTGGCTCTAATAAACTGAGGGGAAAAAGAAAGGTAGTTTGTGCTTGGTTGAGTAATTAACAAAAAGTACAAATAGATGGTGATCCCCAACTGAGGCGGAACAAGAGGGGTTAAGAACGCATACTCTGGATCCAGAATGCCTGAGCAGGAATCTCGACTCTCCTACTTTATTTTCTCTGTGACCTTGGGCAAGTCACTTAACCTCTATGGGCTTCATCTGTAAAATGAGGGTAATAACAGTACCTACCTAACAGGGCTGTTTTGCGGTTTGAATAAGTTATACTTGTAAATCTCTTCATAAATGTCTTGCACTGTACACAGTACGTTGTACCTAAGTTTGTTAAATAGTTGAGGTAGGTGGCGGCTGAGTTTGACGTCTCCAAGTGAAATGGGGGTGTGTGGGCAAAGTAAGGGTCACGGGGAACGGAGGGAGACAACGTCTTTTCTGCGATGAGCACCAGGAATCTGACCTTTGGGGAGGTCGTCCTCCTGACAGGGCTCGGCAAGTACCCGCTCCCAGGAGAGGGGCGCGCGGGTTGAAGGAAACTTCCTTCCTTCCAGGCCTAGGATTTTCAGGAACTCGTTTCTGAGAAGTAATTGTGATTTTTTTAAAGAGGCAAGAGTTTGCTCTCCGAGCAACAGACCGTGGGGTGAATTCTGTTTTGCCTGAAGAGTAGGACCTGCGTCAGGGGCAGAAGGGTGATGTCCTCAGGGGGACCCTCTGCTAAGAACCACCATCTGTCGGGCGCGCTCCGGCTGCCCGCGCCGGGCCAGCCTCGGAGGGAGAACGAATGCTGCCCAGCCCTGAGGGAGGCAGAAAGAGCCTACAGGGTAACGGGGCTGCCGGCGCCGACGGTCGGGAAGGAACCCCACGTCGGGTCCGCGGGGCTACGGAAGGGGACCTGCCTCGTCGAGGGTGGAGGTCACTCGCCGGGTTCTCCGAAGGGAGGGGCCGGCGCTGGCCCTGCAGGAGGCCGGCCGGGCGCACAGTCCCGAGGGAGCCTGCTCCCGGGTCCCGCCCGTGCCCACCCGTCTGTGGCCCCGGTACCCAGGGTACCTGAGCGTGGGCCCGATGCAGGCCGTGTCGGTGCTCTCGATCTCTCGAAGAATCCGTTCGTGCTCCGCCGCTGTCTCCAGGCTCTCCGCCTCCGCCATCTTAACCCGTTCCATAGACTCGGGGAGCCCCGCAGCGCGTCCCCTCCCTCAGCTCCCCTCACCTTTCGCTCTCAATCTCTCTCTCTCACTCCAGGCTCCCGGGGATCCTAAGCCTCCGGCCACCCGCAGGACGACCCCTCCCTCAGACTGGGCACGCCCCCTAGCATCACCACGTCCGCGGACGTTCCGCGCGATGCCCGCTGGGATTTGTAGTTCTCTGGGAGAAATAGCCTGGTTTCACACATTATTCATTGAAGCTACAAACTTGTATTAAAAGCTCCACTATATCCAGTAGCTAACTGAACTGAACTGAAGATTCAGTTCGTACTCCCAAGGCAGGGTGCCAGGGTTCAATCCCTGGTCAAGGAATTAGATCCCATGTGCTGCAACCATAACCCGGTGCAGCAAAATAAACTTGTTTTTTAGAGGGAAAAAAAATGTTCTACTGTAAGGCAGGAACAATTGAGGACTCCAAATGCAACGACGACTGTCAGGCAGTTCTTGTTTAAGACCCTTGCCTCAAAGTGCAAAAGCCTCTTTAGGCGCGAATACTAAGAAAGGATTAACTAGGTTTCTCTGAACAGAGATCTTACAAGTTATGAAGGAGGAAAAGCCCAAAACTAAAAAACTCAAAACTAACAGATAAGGTGTAATGTACCTCTAAGCAAGTTCTGAGAATCAAACACTGCAAGCACTTCTGTCTGCGAAGAATTCATTGACAGACTGTGCCTGAACATTTCAAAAGGTGTGATTGGAAGGTGTGAGAAGCACCTAGAAAACCAGAAAGAACTTCATTTGCACTGGTGTGTAGATAATTAGCAACAAGAGATGGTGCTAGAAAAGCATCTTGGAAAAGGAATACCAGGAACAGAAATTTGAACTTTATTCTATTGGTTCAATGGGGCCAATAACCACCTGCATCAAAAGCATCATGGATTTCTTTTTTATTACAAATCAAAGACTAGAGATCTCTTCAAGAAAACTGGCAATATCAAGGGAACATTTCATGCAAGGATGAGCACGAAAAGGACAGGAACTGTAAGAACCTAACAAAAGCAGAAGAGATTAAGAAGTGGCAAAAATACACAGAACTATACAGGAAAGGTCTTAATGAGACAGATAACACTGATGGTGTGGTCACTCATCTAGAGCCAGACATCCTGTGGTGTGAAGTCAAGTGGGCCTTAAGAAGCATTTATTTTTGTTTAGTCATTAAGTTTTATTCCGCTCTTCTACAGCTCCAATGCCTGGAGCCTGCCAGGCTTCTCTGTCCATGGGATTTTCCAGGCAGTAATGGAGTGGATTGCCATTTCCTTCTCCAGGAGATCTTCCGAACCCAGGGATCAAACCCACATTCTCTTCCGTCTCCTGCTTGAAAGGTGGATCCTTTACCACTGAGACACCTGGGAAATATTACTATGAACAAAGCTAGTGAAGGTAATGGAATTCCAGCTGAGCTATTTCAAATCCTAAAAGATGATACTGTTAAAGTTCTGCACTCGATATGTCAACAACTTTGGAAAATTCAGAAGTGGCCACAGGACTGGAAAATGTCAGTTTTCTCTCCAATCCCAAAGAAGGGCAATGCCAAAGGATGTCTAAACTACAGTGTAATTGCATTCATTTCACATGCTAGCAAGGTTATGCTCAAAATCCTTCAAGCTAGGCTTCAGCAGTATGTGAACCAAGAACTTCCAGATATATAACCTGGGTTTAGAAAAGGCAGAAGAACCAGAGATCTAATTGCCAACATTCACTGGATCATGGAGAAAGCAAGGGAGTTCCATAAAAGCATCTAGCTCTGCTTCATTGACTATGCTAAAACCTTTGGCTGTGTGTTCTTAATCCTGTCTGACTCTTTGCAACCCCATGGACTGTAGTCCACCAGGCTCCTCTGTCCATGGAATTGTCCAGGTAAGACTAGTGTAGCAGGTTGACATTTCCTGTTTCAGGGGATCTTCCTGACCCAAGGGTCAAACCATCATCTCTTGTGTCTCCTGAATTAACAGGCAGATTCTTTACCACTAGCACCACCAGAGAAGCCCAAGTCTATTAGGATATTTTCCCTTTAAAAGATTTACTGTTGAAAATTGGATATGAAATACTCATATATGGTTCTGTCCATCCACAGGAAGAAAGTAAATATGAACTTGGTGTTTACAGTCAGAATATGGACCCTAAAGTACATTTACTGGGAACAAAGGTGAAAATGAGAAAGAAACTGGCCATTATAAGTTCCTGGACAATACAAAGTATGTTTTCAGTGCAAAACATTTTCAGTGCAAAAAGACTGATTATGTTTTGTGAGAAGTTTATGCATCGGTCTTTACTACTATCTTTTTTAAAAGAAAAGTTATTTCAAGTTTTAAAAAGGCAATAGGACTTTAATTATTTCTTATTAAAGCAACTTTTCATAAACATTTATATCATGTTTAAAAGGTCAGATTCATTCCAGACCACCTGAACTGCCTCCTGAGAAATCTGTATGGAGGTCAGGAAGCAACAGTTAGAATGGGACATGGAACAACAGACTGGTTTCAAATCAGAAAAGAGTATGTCAAGGCTGTATATTGTCACCCTGCTTATTTAACTTATATGCAGAGTACATCATGAGAAACACTGGGCTAGATGAAGCACAAGCTGGAATCAAGATTATTGGGAGAAATATCAATAACCTCAGATATACAGATGCACTACCCTTACAGCAGAAAGCAAAGAAGAGCTAAAGAGACTCTTGATGAACATGAAAGAGGAGACTGAAAAAGTTGGCTTAAAATTCAATATTCAAAAAACTAAGATCATGACATCTGGTCCCATCACTTCATGCCAAATAGATGGGGAAGCAATGGAAACAGTGACAGACTTTATTTTGGGGGGCTCCAAATTCACTGCAGGTGGTGACTGCAGCCATGAAATTAAAAGACACTTGCTCCTCAAAAGGAAAGTTGTGACCAACCTACATAGCATATTAAAAAGCAGAGATATTACTTTGCCAACAAAGGTCCGTCCAATCAAAGTTATGATTTTTCTGGTAGTCAAGTATGGATGTGAGAGTTGGACTATAAAGAAAGCTGAGCACCAAAGAATTGATGCTTTTGTACCGTGGTGTTGGAGAAGACTTTTGAGAGTCCCTTAAACAGCAGGGAGATCCAACCAGTTCATCCTAAAGGAAATCAGTCCTGAATATTCATTGGAAGGACTGATGCCGAAGCAGAAACTCCAAGTCTTTGACCACCTAATGAGAAGAACTGACTCAATGGAAAAGACCTGATGCTGGGAAAGATTGAGGGCAGGAGGAGAAGGGGAGGACAGAGGATGAGATGGTTGGATGGCATCACCAACGTGATGGACATGAATTTGAGTAAACTCCAGGAGTTGGTGGTGGACAGGGAAGCCCGGCGTGCTGTAGTCCATGGGGTCTCAAAGAGTTGGACATGACTGAGCGACTGAATTGAACTGAACTGAAGAACCAATTAAAACAGATTGAGACCCTAAATCTGATTTTGCTATGGATTCTTTCTGGTGAAGAAATTACACCACACGTGATCAGTATAAAAAAATACAATATTAAAACAGCATAAACCTTAACGAGTTAGAGAAGGCTAATGCAGAACTGACAGGAAATTACCAACTTATTTATTTTCCAACAAAAGTTCTGTTTTTTTACCTCAACTTCAGCACAATTCTACTTATATTAAATATTCTGTTTCTATTTATCTGTATTAAAAGGTGATAGAATGTTTCAGTGAGTGTGTGGATTACAACTGTGAAAAATTCTTAAAGAGAAAGGAATACCAGACACCTTCCCTGTATCCTGAGAAACCTGTATGCAGGTCAAGAAGCAACAGTTAGAACCAGACATGGAACATCTGACTGGTTCAAAGTTGGAAAAGGAGTACATCAAAGCTGTATATTGTCACCCTGCTTACTGAACTTATATGCAAAGTACATTATGCAAAATGCCGGACTGGGTAAATCCCAAGCTGGAATCAAGATTGCAGGGAGAAATATTAACAACCTTAGATCCAGATTGCAGATGATACAACCAGACTAGAGAATATGAAGACAAACTAAAGAGTCTCTTGATGAAGATGAAAGAAGAGAGTGAAAAAGCTGGCTTGAAACTTAACATTCAAAAAACTAAGATCATGGGAGGGGGGATCGGGATGGGGAACACATGTAAATCCATGGCTAATTCATGTCAATGTATGACAAAACCCACTACAATATTGTAAAGTAATTAGCCTCCAACTAATAAATAAATTAATTAATTAATTAATTAAAAAAAACTAAGATCATGGCATCTGGTCCCATTACTTCATGGCAAATAGAAGGGGGAAAAGTGGAAATAGTGACAGATTTTATTTTCTTGGTCTCCGCGATCACTGTGGACAATGACTGCAGCCATGAAATTCAAAGATGCTTGCTTCTTGGAAGGAAAGTTCTGACAAACATAAACAGCATATTAAAAAGCAAAGACAAAAATAAAAAATAAAAATCAACGACGTAACTTTACGGGCAAAAGTCTGTATAGTCAAAGCTATGGTTTTTCCAGTAGTTATGTATGGATGTGAGAGTTGATCCATAAAGAAGGCTGGGTGCTGAAGAATTGATGCTTTCACATTGTGGTGCTGGAGAGGACTCTTGAGAGTCCCTTAGACTACAAGGAGATCAAATCAGTCAATCCTAAAGGAAATCAAACCTGAATACTCATTGGAAGGAGTGATGCTGAAGCTGAAGCTCAAATACTTTGACTACTTGATGTGAAGTGTGGGCTGCTTGGAAAAGACCCTGTTGCTGGGAAAGATTGAGGGCAAAAAAAGAAGGGGACAGCAGAGGATAAGAGGTTAGATAGCATCACCAACTCAATGGACCTGCATTTGAGCAACCTCTAGGAGATAGTGGAGGACAGAGGAGCCTGGCATGCTGCAGTCCACAGTTTGCAAAGAGTCAGACACGTCTTAGCAACTGAACAACAAATATTTGATGAAAAGTGAAAGACAAAAACAAAAATT